AGATCAGAGCAAAACTGACCAATCAGTATTCACGAACCAGTCTTGTAACACTAGACCGACTCCGATGATGACTTCCGCTCAGTTTGTCGAAAGGTCAGTCACTCTCACCAACACGAACATTTGATCACGATGAACATGCATTTCATCGACATATTTGAACTATCATCTGTTTCTCTCCTTCTCTCCTCCTCCAGTGTGTAGCTTATCTCTCGGAATGGAAAGTCGCGCCATATCCGATGCTCAAATATCTGCTTCATCTCAGTGGGATGCCAGCCACGCAGCCATTCAGGGACGACTGATTTTTCAAGCGGGAGGGGGAAAGGAAGGAGGATGGTCTGCCAGAGCAAACAATCAGAACCAGTGGCTTCAAGCGGATCTCGGCAGCGTGAAAAAAGTGACACATCTTGCAACGCAAGGAAGAAATGCAGCATCCCAGTGGGTAAAAAGCTACATGGTAGAATACAGCGACGATGGTTCGACTTTTCATGTTTACAAAGAGCAAGGCACCAATTTCGACAGAGTAGTTTGGATCCTGATCTGTAAATATTTGTATGGGTTATCATGAACAGTGAGCTAGGACAAAGGCAAGGAGAACGAAACTAACAACAGGTTGGAAACGAAATGTATCATCAATGAAGTGCCTCGAGTGCTAACCCTCCTACAGTTGAAAGATCAACAGTAGTATTCAGTCAAGTATAACTTGTTAATTGGATACCTTGTCTTTCAGATTTTTTCTGCGAACAACGACCGAGATACGATCGTGTACAACTTTCTTAGCTCACCCATAATGGCTCGGTTTGTCAGATTCATCCTCGGACCTATCATGGCCATATTTCGATGAGGATGGAGATTTACGGATGTTAAGGTAATTCTCATTTATAATTGAATTGAACGACATCTTAGGAAAACAAAGTTGGAAGAAAACTTTAGAACTACTGATGTCAACAGATGACTGCGCGGATCCTGAAATATATAAGCAATTAATTCCTCAACCAAATAATTATTTTTCTGTCTGTTTTGAACTTCTTTCAGAGCAACAGTGTAAGAGGTTGGATATTATGTGGTGGCTCCAACTTAAGATATAGTAGTCAGTAAAAGAAGATGAAGAGCCTCTCAGGATTTACTTGTTCCGTTCAAAAGGTAGAGGGAAAATTGAAAATAAAATGAACATTAAAAAAATAAAAGCGTGCTGTTATCAGTTTTAAAGTCTTTGCTAGTTCCCATATGGTTTCATTCTTCTGATATGGACATAAATTGTTAACTTGGTCTCCTTCCGAAGTAGCTCGTGGGAAGTTGCGCACTGTGTAGGTGCTCCTATACGAAATGATGATCAGCACGGTTCCCTTAAGTTAAGTGTTTAGTTGGAGAAAGTCTATGTCGGGCTAGTGCCTTCCTGGCAAAGGCAACTCCTTTCTGTTTCATTGACACCTGCACTGATTGAGAGACTGGAGCAGGCTATGCTAGAAAATAGATTGACTTTGGCAAATAATGACTTTCAACGTATTTCATAGTGCAGTTGCAATCAAAGCTTTGCCCTAAACGACTTGTGCAGGCACTGATGCCGCCAAACGGCCACTCAGTTCAAAAGGCAGCTGGAGAAAGAAATACAGCCGCCATCTTAATACTCCTTAAGGACGTAACTGTGATGTAATAAAGCGCATGCGTTTATGATAATCCAAATACAAATACTCTTGAGGATGGATCGTTTAAAAAAAAAAAAAA